AATTATCCAGCAGCTGTTGCTGCAGGGTCACTGGCAGCGGGCACTTGGCTAAGCACGTCACCCGTAGAGCAAGAGGCCGGGTCTCTCGCTCATAGTGCCTGTCCTGTGGCAGAGCTGGGACTTGAACCGGGAACCTCCAGACTAGAAGCCCTTTACTTTCGGCACTGGAGCACAAGACCTCGCAGGTCGGCTGTGGCTGCTGCGCAGCCTGTGCAGATGCCTGCACGTGGGCCAGCGCAGCCAGCGCAGCCAGCGAGGCGCTGTGTGAGACAGCAGGGCTGGAGAGAGCACACACAGCTGGGACTGGAATGTGCGGCAGTGTGTTTGTCCAGGAGTCCCAGTCCTTCAGCCCAGCTCCCCCCTGGGGGAGTCGAGTTTCAACCCCAGAAGGATTTAGGAGCCCAGGAGAGCCAGGAGCCTGCTGGCCTCTCCAGAGCCCAGGCCAGGCTGAGGCAGGGAGCCTGTGCTGCACTGGACTGCTGCTGCTATTGTTCAAAAGCAGGACTGGTCTGCAGTGCATGATAAGCAGTTCATAACGAAAACTTTGCAAACAACTGTTTTTAATTTCTGCCTGTGTTAATGTGATTATGAAATGCAAACATACAGGTTTTCAATCATTTCTGCCTACTGGATTGCAAATTGAAGTCAAATTGGCTGGTGTGCACTTAAGGTATCATATAGTTTGGCATTACATAGCCATATATACACATGATAGTGCTTGCAGTGTAGCTAACTGTGTGGAGCAGCATTGAGAGCTAATAAGTAAGAGGTCATGGGTTCGAATCCCAAGTGGGGCACAGCTGGTTTTCTCCAGAGAGAGGCACTTCACTCAGATTGCTTCATTAATAGGTCCAGCTGCATACATGGACACAAATATAAGTCACTGTGGATGAACTTGTCAGTTAAATAATCATACTAGCACTATCATTTTCCTAATTATCTTAATGTACCATACTTTAAACGTGAACCAATTTAAAATAATGCTAAAGTAATCTGAAGATGATGTCCTCCTTTTCCATGCTTATTCACCCCTCAAAGGCAGCTCAGAGGGAATTTGTCTCGGACTGATACTAATGTGTAGCATGATAACAAACAATAACTAGGCTGTCTGAGCATGTTTTCCATACACAGATTTACTCTGGACTCAGGTGACACTTTGTAGCTATGGAGCTGAGCACCGTAAAGGCATTGTTCCTCCAGTGTTATTGCTGGCCCTTGAGTACAAGCAGTGTATGGAAACATGGGTGAGTCACAGTGCAGCTATTTGAGAAATGGGCTGTG